CACACACACACACACACACACACACACACACACACACACACACACACTACCCCAAAGGCTTCTCTTATTCCATCTGAACTCCGAATTAGATCTAGGAGGAGGCCATCATTCATTGCAACAACATGACCATTTGCCTCCTGTGAATCTATTTATATGGCTGAGTTTTTTATTTTTTCCATATAATTTTTTATATTTAACATTTTTTGAATGGAATGTACAATAGAACCTATCCACTGTTCGTATTTTATAAGTCTCCCTGGGAACTGAAAGATACATTGGCCACCAGATGGCTCTCTCACTTTTCCATTAATACAATCTTCCTACTAAGTAATGTGAGTACTTTAAAAATTAAATGTCCATTATTAACAGACAAATCTTTCTTAATTTTAAGGAGCTAAACAGAATTAAAGTTAATATGTTCCAAGGAATATTTGAACTTAGACTCCCTAAAATGAAGAATTTACAATAATGAAAATTAACTATTACTAAAATGTTATATACTAATACATTCACAGTTCTTGCAGTCTCTTAAATAAATGTACAAATGTATAGTATCACGTTTTGTATTTAAAAAACCAAGCTTAATTATGTCCATATAGTCCTGGACAGCCTCAACTTATATTCAGAAATTCTGATAGTCTCCCACTTAACAACATAGATTTTTCCAATATCGACTGCCATCAAGATCTCAAGTCTAGCCCTCCAAATACAGAACAAAGATTCTATCATTCCAACTTCTCATTGTAACCAAGACCACTAATATGACATTTAAGCACCTTATACCGTATGAGAACACCATCCACTATTCTGCTGTAATGTAGAAAGCCTATGTGGAGCTTCACAGTTTTATAAAGAAAAATATAAAGAAAGTGTAATTTTCTTTCTCTGTGTATCACATGAGGAGAGCAGAATGGTGGGGGGGGGATAGCTCAGTGGTTTTGAGCACTGGCCTGTTAAACCCAGGGTTGTGAGTTCAATCCTTGAGGGGACCACTTAGGGATCTGGGGCAAAATCAGTACTTGGTCCTGCTAGTGAAGGCAGGGGACTGGACTCAATGACCTTTCAAGGTCCCTTCCAGTTCTATGAGATAGGTATATCCCCATATGTTCTCCTGTTAAGTAATAAAAGTTGACAAATGTCTTAGTTCCTTAACAGTATTAAATGAGGGAGGAAGAATGGCCTTGTGGTTAATCCTCTGAAATAGGATTTGTGGTCAATTCCTACCTCTGTCACAAACTCGCTGTGTGACTTGAGAATGTCACTTCTCTTTCTGCCTAAATTTCTCATCTGTAATATATGGATAATGATACTATTTCAAAGGGGTGTTACAAAAATAGATTCTTTCATGGTTGTGATGCACTCTAGTGCTATGATGATGGGAGGCATCTGGGTATCTAGGGTGATACAAACCAGTGTTTGCATAAGGTCTAAACTATTAAAATATTAAAATACTTCCATTAAAATACATGTATGGAATAGATCTAGAAATGTATTTGTAATTGTTTTGCAAGTCACTTATTAGATTTGTTAATGGGGTGTTTGTGTTGAAATGGAAAAGAGCTCAAACCCAAACTATAAATCTGAGTGCTCCCAAAAGTTGGGGCAGTTTATATCCAGATTTGGTTCCAAGTTTTTTAATTTTGGCCCAGTATCATAGATAGATAAGTGTACGTGGTTGCTGGAGATGAGCTGGTATACAGGATGTGTGAACCTTCTTGAACGTTGCAAAATTTTGGTTCCATTTTCATATCCAAACATTGGCTCTCTAGCCCGGTGGAGGTGGAGTGTGTTAAATCTTTTTCAAATTGAAATGACAGGTTTGTTGATAACTATATCTTTGTGATTCAGAACTAAGGTTTGTGTTGGAATGTTTAATGTGACTTTTCACCACTGTAGACTTTGAAAATGAACAGTTACTGTATTACAGCCTCTATAAGGAGTGGATGGGGGTGGGACCTCAGAGGAAGACGCAGGGTGAGGGGGAAGAGGTGGGGTGAGGCTTTAAGGAGAATATGCTGGGCAGGGGTGGGGAAGAGGCAGGGTAGTGGAGGTTCCAGCACTCCTGCTGGAGTGTCCATTTTTTAAATACAGGGAAACCCCGCTATAATGCGCCCCACGATAACACGAATACGCCTATAACGCGATCATAAGGTGGCTCCCGTCACCCCAAGCGCCAAAAAAAAAAAATGCAGCCGCAGAACCCCTGAAGAACAAAAAAAAAAAAAAAAAGAGAGAAAAAGCGGCCGGAGCACCGCCGAGGCACACCAAAAAGAAAAAGCGGCCGGAGCACTGCCGAGGCGCGCCAAAAAAAGAAGAGAAAAAGCGGCCGGAGCACTGCCGAGGCGCGCCAAAAATGAAGAGAAAAAGCGGCCGGAGCGTCGCCGAAGAAAAACAAAAAAAGGAAAGTGCCTTCCCCACTGCCTCTTCCCCTCTACCCCCACTTGTTCTTTTGGCGGGAAGAGCCATTCTCCTCCCCAGCTGCTCCTTGCTCCTCCTCTGCCCCTTGCACGTCTCCCCTGCTCTCTGCCCAAGAGAAATTGACCGGCTTGAAACTGACCGGCTTGAAATGGTAAAATTTTGGTAACCCCGCTATACCGCGACCCCGCATTTATCGCGAATGAAATTTTTGGACCCCAATCATTGCGGTATAGTGGGGTTTCACTGTATTTCCAAATTGGCAACCCTAACTAGCAGGGTGGTAAGTACAGGGATGCTACTGCTTCCATAGGATTTATAGGCTTATCAGAGCTTTTTACCAAAGTGAGAGGATATTTGTGAGCAAATTATTAAATAAGTTGTTTAAAAAATTCTGTTTCTCATCTTAAAAAAAAAAACTCTTGTAATTGTGTTTGAATTTAGGACATGGCCCAGTAGTACATGATGCATGTGCTAAAATTCAAGGATACATTTCTCACCGAAATGCACGTGAACAACAAATCCTAAATGTTTTGCAGGAGAATGCTGGAAAATCATTTACATCAATGGAGCTTCTAAAGATTGTATACAAGGTAATTATAGTTAAAACGTTATTACATTGAACTGAAGAGCACAACCTTAATTTTCACTTAAATAAAGTCAACATGGTATGTGTTTGTGTGTGGGCTTTTAGGAGGCTCCATAGTTAAGCGGAGCCACATTTGGCATTTTTTCTGTTCTAGTCATGTGCGGTAAAGGACTAATGTAGCAAAATTCACACCTGTCTATAAGCATGTAAGTAGTCTCGCGATTTAAGTGCTTTACTGGATCTGGGCTTAAATTATTTTTATTAACTTCTACCTTTCATAATTATTTTTAAGCTTAGTAATCACATGTTTCTCATGAGGATCAAGAAAGTTTGTAGTTATAAAATAGTCAGATCAGAATGAACAATGTCAGACAATAACTAAATATATTTATGTCCAGGGTTGTTTGGAGTCTCCTGCAAAGTATTTTAGAACTTATAGTTGCAAGCTCCCACAGGCTTCAGGAAGGTGCAGGCTAAAAACTGTGCTAGAAACCCTGTGTTCTGACAGCTTGCCATGGGGCAACAGGAGCTGGATCCTGTGACTTAAAGATAAACAGCCTGTGCACTCAAAAGCCTATTTATTGATCATCAGACAGAGCCCTAAAGATATTAGTCTTTCTGCTTACCCTTCCTCTCTTTATGGTAATTCTCAGAGTGTAGGTCATGCAGTATAGAGAACTCTTTCATGATGTTGCTTACAGGAAAAACTTATTCACTGGGCTAGGCTGAAGGGAAAAGTGCAAGATGCTGGGAGGGCAAAAGATAGCTGTCAACCATCCTAATCTGACATGGGCTGTAAACATCCTGGACAGGTTTACAAAGGGTTTTGCAAACGCATCTCAGGTGTTTGAAGTTCCAGTCTGTGTCCTGGAGACTGGGAACTACTGCAGCCTAGGAGGGATTTTTCCGTAATGCTAGCCTCCCATACAGATCAAGGAGAGACTGCTACCTGTTGTCTGTCTGAGCAGCTACTCTAGGCTGATGATGATAATTTTTGTGTAGAGTGGAAATCAGCTCAGAGCCAGGGAAGGGAGCCAGTAGTCCCCTCCCCCACACATTGAGGTAAGTGGCAGGGGGGATTAATCAGAGGAGATGGGGAACTGGGGGGGGTGGGGGATAATGACACCAACGGGTAGAAAATTTGGGAGAAGTGGGTCCCCCATGTAATTTCAGATAGGTATGGGGACAGGCCTGGGTAATAAACTCTGAATTTTTAAATCTCCCCCTGCCCCTGCTTTGAAGACAGGAATAGGCTGTGGTGGGAGAGCCTGTTGTGGGAGGAACAGTTATGTGAGGAGAGATGGTTTCAAGGAGAAGCTCCATTACTTCAGGTAAGCATCCAGAAGTTGTGATGCTTATCAGAATCACAAACATTCTGAGGTTCTCCAGTCACTAATTTATAATAATTTTTACAATGGCACTACATTTTTAATATGGAGATAATTGTTTTGCAACTCTGATATTTATTTTTAAAATAACTGACAATTTACCAAGACAACCATTTAGATCCCAGAAGATCTCTAACTGCCAGATCCATAGCATATTTGGAAAATTCCCCTCAAATTTTAAGAAATGCTGGCACCTGTAGGAAAAACCTTGAGAAATGGAAAGGGAATTTGATGTACAACTGCCCACTGTCATATTGCCTCTATATAAATCCATGGTACACCCACATCTTGAATACTGCATGCAGATGTGGGCACCCCATCTCAAAAAAGATATATTGGAGTTGGAAAAGATTCAGGAAAAGGCAACAAAAATGAGTAGGGGTATGGAACAGCTTCCATATAAGGAGAGATTAATAAGACTGGGACTTTTCAGCTTGGAAAAGAGACGACTAAGGGGGGATATGATAGAGGTCTATAAAATCATGACACATGTGGAGAAAGTAAATACGGAAGTGTTATTTACGCCTCATAACACAAGAACTAGGGGTCACCAAATGAAATTAATAGGCAGCAGATTTAAAACAAACAAAAGGAAGTATTTTTCACACTATGCACAGTCAACCTGTGGAACTCCTTGCCAGAGGATGTTGTGAAGGCCAAGACTATAACAGGATTCAAAAAAGAACTAGATAAGTTCATGGAGGATAGGTTCATCAATGGCTATTAGCCAGGATAGGCGGGGATGATGTCCCTAGCCCCTGTTTACCAGAAGCTGGGAATGGGCGACAGGGGATGGATCACTTGATGATTACCTGTTCTGTTCATTCCCTGTGGGGCACCTGGCATTGGCCACTGTCAGAAGACAGGGTACTGGGCTAGATGGACCTTTGGTCTGATCCAGTATGGCCGTTCTTATGTTGAGCTTCGTATTTGGCCAAATACTAAAATTAGAAATGGTTTATTTGTAATACATTGTTAAATTTGGGCTATCCTAAACATGTGCTATCCTGAATTAGGACATAATGCAAAGAATGGGAAAAAAATATTATTTAAACTGGAGATTTAAGTGGTATGACTTATTTCAATTCTTTGCCACTGTTGGTGGGTAGTTGAACATAGAAGAGTTCCCTTTTGTGTATTGAGGAAAATAAAAACAAAAATGAAAAAAATATTGGCAGATATGCATGATTATATATTCATTGTATTTCTATTTAGGAAATTCCTGAAAATTTACTTAAAGCAGCAGAAAATAACCTTACCCTTCACTTAAGGAAGTTAGAAAAAGAAGGAAAAGTGTGTAAGTTTTTTTTTTCTTTTATAAATTATTTCTTACAGTATTTTGTTAAATTATTTCCCGGCACTCACACATTGATAGTTTTTCACACAATTTTTGTAGTATTGGTAGTCACTCAGACAATTTAAAGTAGAATTACCTTAAAAACTAAGGTGATTTAACATTAAGGATATATAAAGTTCTGGTAAAGATCATATAATATGTTTGAGAAACTGTCTGTGACAATAAATACTATTGTAATGCATATATTCAAGAGATCAGAATTAAAGAATATACTCATTACAATAGTATTTGTCATCACCTGCAGTTTCTCAGATACGTTTTATAATGTTTTTCTAAAAGTTTAGATCAGCTGTGATTACATAACTAATGACTTTTTTAGGCATTTGTTATTGAGGGGCAAAGTTAAAAATTGTGTAAGCTTATCTTTTACATTTCCTGACTTTTATAGTAATTAACTGCAACCTTAATGTTGTATTAATTTAGGGTTTTTTGCATTTTACTTTCAAGTTATTTTAAAATAAAAATGGTCAAGAAAATGTTCCAGTTCTGTAATGAGACCCCTTAAGAAAAGGCCAAGTAATGGTTATCAATGTCTTTAGAAAACTAGGCACTTGAAAACCTTAACAGGCATTAGCGAAAGGCTAACAAGTATATGTACCAGTATATAAAAATATAAATGTGTACAAGTGAATAAGCTGTCAGGGCTTGCTGAGTTTTAAATAAAAGCATTTAGCCCAATTTTCTTCAAATTTGGGGGAGGGGGGGTTAAGTGATAAATAAAGTTTGAAGAAATGGGTTTGGTATCATTTTAAGTTAAAACATCTGAAGATAGAATTTTTAAAAAGGAAGCACTTACGTCTAAATCATGTCTTCAAGCACAATCATTGCTTTGGTGCCATAACTGTAGAGGCTGAGGAGGTAGTACTATGAACCATATTTTGTGCATAAGAGCGATGCAACCAGAATGCAGTAGGGCATCATTATGATCCCTTGAGCTCACTACACCTTTTAAATGGTGTAGCATGTGTTCTCCTATCCACTGCTGGACACTAGCAAGCACAGTGAGGATAGGTCCTGGCCACTTCACAAACTTGGCTGAGTAAGACCCCTGTGGGCCTTACGTGCTGTTGACCATACTAACAAGTCCCTCCCTTCCCCACCCCCAAAGCCTCATCTGAGGTAGCACAATTAACAGGCTATTTTCTGGGCCTTGTGAATAGATGAGTAGAGGCCTCCCTTGCCCCTCCTAGGAGGAGCCACAACTTGCCCATTAATAAGCTGTGCACATATGCACAATAAATCACCTTAAATGTACATCTGTCAATTTAATATGTCCTGTTGTGCATGCTCAGTGTGTACCTTTCAAACAGTCAAAAGTTGTTAGCGCCAATTTTTTTCCCATGTAAGAATTTTTTCACACTTCTTGAAACAATAAAAATTCACCTTTTGATAAGCAACCAAGGACACTGAGCTTCAGTCAAAAAAGTCTATGCTTCAGAAAGAAATGAGCATCTGAAATTGGCAGCCTTAACGATTATGGGTTGTACCAAATGCTGGCTAGAATAATTCTTGTGACTTTTCTTCAACGTGTTACTTTTGATGCATATAGAATTAATTTACATGTTCCACCTTCCTTGGAAGAATGAAAAAGATGTTTTCAAGTCCTTTATCCATATTGAGTATTCTTGTGGGAGGTTGATGGGGGGCAGCAAAGTTGAAAATATAAGAACTGTGGTTTTTTGCTTGCTGATTTGTACACTTTGTGGTGCAAATATTAAATTTGTAAGTACTAATTAGAGCTTAGATTTGTGATACACATGACAGAACAATACCTTTGTCAATATTTCAGTTCAGCTTAAGGATTTATATTAAGAAAAATACATATTATTAGTCCTGAATGAGTACTATACAAGTCCTTGTATATTCATACCACTGATCATTGACCTTTGATTTTGTTTTGGTACAAAGCCATTTTTTAATACAGTGTGAGCTGCAGTATTTCAAATTTTGGTCTGTTCTTAGAAAACAGTAGCTGCAGTCAAATGAAAGTTTCTTCTAACTTTCACAAAATATTTGTCCAAAGAAACCTCTTGTTAATGTGCAGCACTGAATATGCATCGCATATTTTATTCCATTGTTATATGAAAATTATAACAGTAATTTGGCACATGGTTCTTTCTAATGGAGTCACTAACTCTCCATGTAGTTCTAGAGACTGCAGTGTGGTTCTACACCTTTTTTATAACCTCATTTCAGAATTGTACTGCCTTTATTGATTTGTATCTTTTTTTTTTTAAAGAGTGTGTACAGTAGTGTTTTATAATTTGTGTATATATAAACTCTGCTCTCTCCCTAATTTGGATGAAAGTATTGTTAAGGGCCCTTACATCAAAGTCAGTATTTGACAGTTTAAAAAAAGAGATGTCATGAATGGATCAAAACAATTTCTGACATTTTTTGAAAACCTTGATAGAAAATTACTTTGTGCTGTTAACCTAACAGTATGACTTACTTTCAAACTGGGTACAAACTTTAAAAAAACAACATGCTCTGTTGCCCAAAGATTCTTAATATTCAGAAGTTCCAGTATGTTTTCCTTAAGTTTTATAATTATATTCATTAAAATTCATTCTTAATATGGTTTATATCCCTAGAAGTCTGGTTTTGTTATAGTTAGCCAATTTGTGAATGTTTAACAATCTCCAGTAAACTAAACACCTAACCTTAACCTTCAGTATTCAGGTGGACAGCATTGTGGCTTTAAAATAAAATCTCCTAGTGTGCATGCACAAATGGATTTTAAGATATGTGGTGTGACAACTTCATGTGTCCGAGGTTAGAATTAAGCTTCCTGAGTTACTTCATTTTGCTAATATTTTCCTTGTCCATAGCAAAAAACAGTTATATTTAGACCCAACAATGATAGCTTTCAGTGACTAACTTGGCCAGTTTTACTTTACTTTTTTTTTCCTTAACAGTAAATGAAAAATCTCCCAACTTCAGGTGGAAAAGCAGTTTGTAAGTGTTGCAAGAAACAGAAACAAGATTGAGTACTCTCAAATAAATACCTACACACAACCTCTTTATATAAATACATGAACTTGTATATGCAGAACATTGGATGGAGAATTAGAGGAATCCGAAAGCACTCCGCTGTTACGTAAAATCAGAACAACGTTTTTGTTAAGAAAAAAAAATTACATAATTCTGCTATCTTAAATAAATTTTATGTAATCTATTGTTACAAAGTACTCAGATAACCAATGATTGTCATATTCTGTCTGATGGGAATTGAAACAACTTGTGTATTCAGTTAGTCAAATGAAGTTACTGTGAACAGCTGTATGTTGTCTTTTTTGTAGAATTGTTGACTTTCTGTCAGTGACAGAAAACAGCTAGTAAAGGTACTACTATAGTATAAAGTAATTGATGACAACTGTAGTGCAAAAGCTGATTGTGAAGGTGGCAGAGTGACTTTCACAATGACCTATTTTCACTTGTTCATACTAGTGCAAAAATGACTTTATTTGGGATTTGTGAGTGCTCAACCCTTCTGAAAATCCAGCCACTTTTATTAAGATATCTAAGTATTGATTTTTGGAGCCTAATTTTAGACACCCAAAGTTGAAATTTTTGGCCCCTATGTGGGCTGTTGCTATTTAATCTAGAAAGATTCAATACAAGAGCTAAGTGAGCAAAAAAGTAGTTTCAGCTTTTTGTAGTCTCTGAGGAAAAACCTTTCCTAGCAGATTCAGTGTAAGGAGCTACTATTAATTTTAACTATTCATGCCAGTTAAGACAAATGTTTAATAAAATAAAATCATAGCAAAAGTAATGCAAACAAAACCTTATATGTGCAAATGAAACAATGTCAGATTATACAATCACATGATTTTTAAAAATACTATACAGATAATTATTAGAGATGTATTGAACACTAAGCAGTTGAAGTCCCAGGTGTTTGCCAGTTTTAAATATTGATTTATAAATTCTGCCCTCAGTTACCCATCAACGTCATATAAATTACAAAGGTGGAACAAGGCAAAATTTGACTCTAAGACTCTATATACTGTCTGTGATTTAAAAATACAGTAGAATGTTTTAATTGAAGATAATGTTGGACCTTAATTTCAGTTTTCTGTGTAGCTTAAACTTTTGAAGTAACTGAACTTGTAAATATTTGCACTACTGTGTGTATTCAAAAAGTACATAATGTCTGTATGGTTTAAATGTACCTTCTAATCCTGGCACAAATCTTGTTTTGAAATCACTTAATATGGAATACAGATACATTTATCTTTCATGCCTATGTCCTTGGAAAATCCTTTACAGACTTTTAAAATTGTTCAACCCTATATTTTCATATGTGGCATGTGCACATTTTGTCAGGTAGGTTTTTTATGTAGGCTTTAGAAGTTGTATTGTTCCAATGTTAGTTGACAGCAGATACACATGGATTATGGACAGGGTGGATTTGATGTAAATCACTAGTCAGGAAGACTCGATTTAATCATGCATTTCTACATAAAAGTGCATTGTTGTTGGTTGTTATAACCTTAATACATATTCTTCACAACTCAGAGATAGATGTAGGTTTCATTTTTAGAAGGTACACACTACATTTTTTAAATTATTTATTTTGAAAACTTTTCAGATTAGTTTTACAGCTATATCAGAAAATGAATGATTGGTTATTTCATTTACCAAAGGTAATTGAAGCAGATAGTTCACCTCCCAATAACTTCATAAATATCTACAGTTCAACAGGTTAATCATTAATATTTGGAGGATTTTCTTGCCATGCTGTATTAGGAGGAGAACGTCACCAGACAGACATTTAAATTGTTTTATTTAACTAAAACAACAACATTATGTATTCTGGATTTTTTTCTTCAACAGCAAACATATAATATTTTAACAAAACAAGTATAGGAATTTTTGAATTTAGTTAAACATTCAAGTTTTTTAAAATCAGGGTTGTTTTTATTAAAATTGTTTTTAACTAAAATAGTTAAATGAAATATTTAAAAAAAAAAATTAAATCAACTATATCAGCCAGGTCAACATGAGAAACTTAAAATATTGGCTTCTGCAGCTAACTCAGTCGTCTTCACCTTCATTTTCCTGTTTGTTCTAAATCTGGAAAAGAAAAAAACAAGCTTTCCTGCCTTTTCAGGTCCCAAATGATTTCTCAGTTTGGAATGAATTAGTCCAAAGGAAGAAAATATTCTTTCTACACCGGCAGAAGAAGCTACTTCTGTTAAAAGTGAGATTATCACTTCAACAGTCTCTGAATCCAAGTGCTTCAGAGACTTCCACCAGTTCACTGGTGTGACTTTCTTTAAAACATCATCAGCAAACATATATTTCTTGAATGGTTCTTATTCCCAAACTGGATCTCTTTTACGGCCTGCTGCCATTATAGATTTTCCCTTCTAGTGAGAGAATAGTATGGTAGATCTCAAATCAATGAAGGCCACACTCAGAAAGACCTCAAGATTTCTGGAATATGCTGCTCAAACAGTTTCACATTTGTTTCTACTGCCTGTCCCTCCCTTCTCACATTTATCTCCAGACTACTACTACTTGTCCAGATCTATTCCGCCCCCAATAATTCATTGAACTTTTTGAAACTTTGCACTTTTAGAGAGGAGAGGTAAGGGATTGACACTGTACACAAATCTGCAGAGGGACAATAGAGTTGAGGTCTGTTATTTCTCACCTCTGTATATTATTTATTTATAAAACATTTTTGCTGTTAACAATCATGTTATCTCTTGAGACACAAATCCACAGTTCGAGAACTGCAAAACTAAGCATCTCTGATGGTATCTTCTAGACTGAGCACTGAGTCTCATTGGGTAGATAGAAAGATGAACCTAAATAATCTATACAGAAGCCCCTGGAATCCCATAAAATTGGGACCTTAATCCATGAACTATTGGTTCTCATTTACAAAACTTTTCTTAAATATTACATGAATATATTGTCTCATACTAAAGAATTAGAATTTATAATTCCTATTCCATTATGAGAGGTTTTTTTCCTCAAAAAGCATTTTATAAAAAAAAATCCAATTTAATTTAAAAAAATCTGATTTTTTTTTTTTTTAAATCATTGATTTTTATCCACCCTGATTATACAGGAAACAGCAGAAGGTCATTTTGTTGCTCTTCTCTTTTGAGAGATGTCTAACTTGTCAGCATCTCTAGGAATGGGTTGCCAAAACTGAACATAATCTACTAGGTGAAGTCTCACCAGAGCAGTATGGAGAGAAAATGCTACCTCCTTGCTCTGTGGAATGATCCTTTTTGTGTAGGCAAACTGTATTCGATTGGAGCCAAATCGTACTTGCTTGCTCAAGTCTAACTTTTGGTCCATTATCATTCTTCAGCATTACTGCTTTCCAAGTTTCCATTCCTTGTATGTTTGTGCATTGAATTGAATTAAGATCTGTTAGCTAGTATTTTTCCAATTGAATTATTTTTCTGTCCATGTTTCTAATTTGTCAAGGTCCTTTTGAATTCTTTCTTTTCCCTTTCCGGTGTTTGGAATTCCTCACGGTTTACCCTGTGTGAATTTCTACTTACCATTTATGGTCCTGTTATTCTGTAGCTATTTCATGAATTTGTCCCCATCTGTTCCATTGTTAGGAATAGAAATTCAATATATAGATTTCAAGGATCACTTTTTTCCTGTTTATTTTTTGAAAACTTCATTTGTTTTTTCCCAGTCTTTTGAAACTTCCCAGTTATCTGAATTTCATTTCAGAAAATAATGGTCAATGGTACATAGAGTAAGTTCATTAACTAATTCTGTTAATACTGTATGATCCATATTTTCCAGAGTGGCTAATTTGTATATGGTCAGATGTTCCAAGTATTTCCTTATCTCTTTATCAATAACAGGGTTTTCTTTCCTATTTAGTCAGTTTTCTATATTTTCTTTGTTGATCATTATTTTTATTAAATGACCAACTTTCTCACTATTACTTATTTTCCTCAGACAGCTTAGATTTGTAAAATTTCACGCTTATCTGGCTAGCATTAACTCATCCTGCCTCTCTTCTCCCCTCCCCCCCCCCCCCTTTTATCTTGCTGGAAAATATGAAGCTACAGTCTACCGTGATTCTTACATTAGGTATTACAGGATTGATACTCTTGCCTGAAGCCATGACTTTTGGTCATAGTGGTCTCTCTAATTGATATCCCACATCCCTAGTCTTACTATGACCTAGCTTGTTCAATTTCAGGAGTTCCATATAGGTTTAAAAAATGTTTTACCTGTAAAGCTGCATCTCCAAGATTTGGACCTCTTCCTTTTCTCACTTACCACCACCTCTTTTTCCCCCCAATATTACGAACAATATGTAATTGTTTGATTCACACCAACTATTTAATCATTCTTAACTTTCACTACATTGGGAACATTGGAGTTTATCATCAGTAACTGATTTGCTTAGTCTTTAAGGATTTCTAGCACTCCTCTTTATTTGAATGTTGTGGAAGCTTCCTATGGGGAGTCAGAAAGAGGGAAAATCTTCTGACACCAAAATACCATTTTGGACTTTTGTCATTCTTGTGATTGCAGTGAATGATTAGTTTGTAGAACCTTCTGTCATACTGTCTGGAGTGACTCACAACTGTGAGTGCCTATCTCAGGACCAATTGCCAGAAAACAGGGCAGATTTCCCAAGCTGGTGGTGTGTTCTATAATTAGAGTTCACCACACCAGTAACAAATGTAAACTCCTGGATCATTATACCAGTCTTAAATTGGACAGTCTGTGACTCCATGGTATCTTGCCACCCAGACAAACTGAACTTTGTGGTACAAGGTTATTAAAACCAAAAATCACACCACATCCCAAGAGACTAGCCACTTACCCCAGATCAATTGGCACTCCAGAACTTACACCAAAGACAACACTGGCAGCCAATTCTATAGGAAACTAACTATAAGTTTATTAGCTAAGAATAGGAAATGAGTTAGTGAGAGGTTAACGCAGGTAAAAATATATTAACAGGTGAGTCACAGTTTGTAATTCCATATGATGTTAATGATGTAATAAACTGCCAGTTTCCCAGAAGGCTTTCAGGGTACCGAGATTGTCTCTGGGGATCTCTGTTTTGCATCTGAAACACTTCCCTGGAACAGTCCAGTCAGAGATCTTTGAATCCATATTTATAGCTTCTTCATATAGAAAGCAAGCTGACAGTGTCTCTACCTATGTGGGCTTTTCCTT